CTGATACGATTTATGTATCTTCACGAAATTTGGCAAGCTTTCAGTAAACGTTATAAATATTCTGTACAGAAACAATCATGATTTCAAATAATGTATTTTTGCTAAAAATTAATGCTTTAATATATGGAGTCAAAGTAGTCACTGCTCCGTGTGTAAAATGATTTTTCATGTTAAGATTGAAAATACTTTTTTTTTGGCATCTAAAAATTATAAAAATTATTTTGTGTAATATCTAAAATTTCTGAAATAAATTTCCGACCTGTTTTCGATAAATCTTCATTAAAGTTACTTCTGTGTGACTTTGTTTGTCTGACCGCGTCATTTTTTTTTTTTCAAATAGACCAGAATTTATCAATCTAACACATAATGCCTGCAAGAAAGCGAAGCTTAAATGGCATGCGTGGAAATGAAAGAATAAGGAAATTAAAGCAAAGAGCATTTAAACTACCGCAAATGCTTTGCGGGTTGCGGCTAGTTTGTATATACTTATTTATGAAATCCTCATCTAAAACATAACACATAGTCTCCACGTGCTAATTGCAAATACAGTTGACAGAGGTTTATAATCTATTGTCTAGCGCTCCTCCTTAGCAGTTATTTTACTTGCTAAAATTAAAAACTTCGGTTAAGAATAACATAGTTAGCTTGTACACCAAAAATGTATAAAAGTAACAGAGAGAGGGAAACGTGACTTGTGATTGATGGTAAACACTGTTATACACACGCTTTCAAACCACTATGATATTTAATTTAAAAGTATTCGCAAAACGCAGATAACGGAAATGCTAGTCAGAGAATAAACTAAACACGGACAATAAAGGATACTATGAAAAACAAAACTGAACATGTAAAACAAAACATTATTTAAAAATGTTCCAAAGCCGTACCTAAGCTAGCCGATATCTGGCTACTGGGGTGAGGGACAAAGTCAAGAGTAATGTAAATGCACGTCCGCACAAAATAAATATAATTGCAATTTACCATCTAAATTCAGACACAAACGTTAATGTGTGGTATATCATAGTCCAATGCTCTATACGTCACCATCTATTCCAAATAAAATTTAAAGAAAAAAAAACCCTAACTTATATTAATTTGTATAAATATCTCTGCCATCACTTGCGATGGGATCACTCATCAATGGGAATCAGTCTCAGGGACAAAGTGATGTGAGTTTATAGATGTTGGCATATGTAATATTCAACCGAGTAAAAGGATAAGTGCAGGTTATCGACTTTAAACAAACTTACCTGAATATATATGGTTAGAGACATATTCTAAACTAGTTATTGAATGGTGAAATTCGTGATTGTGGTATTACCTCAGCGCTCAATTCTCCAGAATATCATGAGGAACCAAAGGCAGTATTTGAACATCTTAATTATGAATCACAATTATTTTACGTTCGTGTTCAATTCAGGTGTTCGTCGGTTTGAATATGCAAATTAGTTATTTTAACGTATTCGTTGTCGACCTCAACAACTACAAGAATGATCAGTCAGACGCAAATTACAGGTTTCTAAGCAAGGCTTTTCATGAAAATCACAGAGGTTAATACATTTTCCCAGTCACAAAGAAATTATGATTGATTTCAAAAGTCCCGGGGAAATTTTATTATAATTCTACTTAAAGGTCAGATTTCAATCAATAAACATGTTTCTTCGTGACTTCTAAAACAAACTTAGTGTACAGAAGTTATGTCACCTGTCTACAGACTTGTTTATTATTCTTGAAGAATCTATTATTCTTGAAGCTTTCGGAAATTTCAAATGCATAGAAAACGTTTAATCATGTTTCCAACTGGTCATGTCTATTCGATGCTTGGAGACATGTGTTATACGATAGCCTTGAGAGGAAAAGTATACAGAGTTTTAGCATCTTAATCAAGCTGTGACAGGAGGAAACGATAACTCATTTTGTTAGTTAAAACAGTTAAAGTAAATAAGATGCCTTAAGGAATGAAACGAATTACTATCAGACGAGTATTGGATTTTATTGTGGTTAAAGCGAACCAATTTGGAAATTATTGTGGTATTTCTTGTCCAGATAACACAAGTAAACGTAAAAATATTGCGAAAAATTAGATAACATAATTTGATAGCTGTTACTAGGAACAATTGACATTCCACTTTCCCATTTGATATTTCATTCTGTAAATTTATTTTCTTCATCATAGAAGATTAGTTGTATGACACCTTCATCAAAAGTTTTCACCTCTATCCATGTGAAATACGTGTCAAAGGTTCTTAACTTGACTAAAGAAAAAGCTTCAGGAAAGTTTTAAACCAAACCATCACTTCCAATTTCCATAACGGTTGTTTGACAAACCCAGTATAATGTTCCGTTAACTTATACCAAACAAATCTTTATCTTTCTCTAAATGCTTTATTTTCTATTCCTATCTTCCCAATAATCGTATCATAAGGTGAAATAATTCAAATCTTGATAAGTTTTTCGATAAGTAACCGACGTTAATACCTGAAAATCGAGAGCGAAATAACTTATTAATACCAATTCGCTATGGTTTAAATTCCGGGCAGTTTCCATCCTTCAGAAAAACTACAAAAATATTTTAAAAGTAATTTGTCTGCTTGTTTATTTGTTTGTAATTAAGCACAAAGCTACACAATGGGCTATCTGTGCTTTGCCCACCACGGGTATCGAAACCCGGATTCTAGTGTTGTAAGCCTACAGACATGCCGCTGTGCCACTGGGGGCAATTTATCTACATAATGAGATTTGTCTTTTACTACTACATTTCAATTTATATCAATTGGTTTACCAGCAGATTACATACGCGTAGTTACGAAATTAAAGGACATCAAGGCGGAGGGGGAGGCTAAATTCCATGTTTTTAATACCATGTTTACTTCAGATAACAATAAACTCCTAAAAATCTCCAGTTCTTGACAATTACATGTACAGGGTATTTGAATTCAAAATTTGTGACAAACATTAATATTATAATTTTTTTCATTTTAAAAATATTTAAGCCGTTATGGGCTGATATCTCCTCCCCCTCCCCCATCCAGCCCCTTATCTAACTACACCAATACAGAGGAATTGTTAATATTATAAATGAACAAAGGCTACATTCTGTGGTTAGGTGATGTTTAGTCGTTTTTGGCGGGATATCGACTTATAGTTTTAATTTGGCGCGAAAAAAAAGTCACTCATGATGAGTTATCAGATTCGAATTGTTTGTAAGCACTAATCATCAACAGTGGCTGGTATCAAGAGATGACTCACTAAATACTACATGATCAGTCTAAGGGAACGCCTCCACCAAAATAGCGGGACACCATCAAAACAAACACCTGTGTTTCAAGTGGGGACGCCACAAATAAGTTGATGGCGTTCCTCGTTGTGCATGGTCGACGTCACCTGCTTCTAGGGCGGCTGGACACGTAATAGGACGCGTGCGCGTCTCGTGACTTTTCTCCACAGTTCAAAATCAAATGAAGCTTTGGAAGAAGCTTAAAGTCAGTGTAAAAGAAGAAAAAAATGTTTTTTCACAGCCAGTAGTCATACTAATAATACTTTACAGCTGTTCCCATCTGGTAAAAAAGAACTAAAAAAAAACACACATACACACTTTGACCCGTGTATCTGGCAGTTGATGCTGATATCAGCTTAGACTTACCTGTGACGCAACTAATGGAAAAGGATATCAAGCATCTGCTTTCCACGCCAGGTCTAAAATCTATCTAACAGGACAGACACGCGCAATGTATGGGATCGATTTTTGGAAAACAGCTAAATATTTCTTATCTAATTATCTCTGTGAAGGAGTTGAAAATAAAAATTTAACTTTATTCTCACTTTCCAAACAAAAAAGTTAAACCAATCTGTTGAAGAAACCCCAGTACTAGGATTAAGACAACGCATTGTACACAGTCTTAAATTAAACCTCGTTTTTCTACACCCAACACAACAACTTTAGGTTATAGTCTCCATTGTGAAATCCTCAAAAAAATGTACTCTTCATTTTTATTTTATAGAAAATTGTTGTAAAGATTTTAGAATTAGAAATTTCTAACAATTAAAATTATTTTTAAACCTTAAAATAGTATTTTCTGATATACCTCGCTTAAACATAGTTCTCTTAAGAGGTATGTTAAACTTGCATTGTCAGAATTTAAAATAATCCTTTTTTGCCAGTTGTCAAATATAAAGGCTTTTAGTTATGTTTCTTAATAATATAAATATATACCATGTTGTTGCTGAGCTTAGGATTATTCTACTTTAGGTGTCTGTGACTTGTTAGCGATAAATTTAACGATGAATAAACAGCACGCACTTCACTTGTTTTCAAAATAATATATATATATATTCAGAACAAGTTAACGTATGTACAATAAATTCTTCAACACTATAGATCTTATGGGCATATCATAAATACTACATATGTAGTTCTCTTCTTCGTGTCAAATATCCACTTAGGCCTATTCAATTACTTCAGAATTTCAGTTGACAAGCCAAACTATCTTCTCTCTTTCTATCGCATTAGTATTATCTGTGATTCACTTATATTTGTGGCGCGAGTTACCGTAATCGTTTGGTCTTCTTTCTTTTGAAGATCCTCTGTTCCTTTTGTCAAAGTGCACTCAGTCTGGTTCAATTACTTTAGAACCACGCTTTGACGGAATAAAATAATGTTTGTTATCTTCTTTTTTACTGTTACTTTCACTGTAACATATTAAACGTTAGGCCTATCACATCTACGGTAGTTAACTTCACACCAACTTTATTCTCTTTTGCTATTATCTGTCAGCTGTTCCCGCTCGTCTCATTCTCTTTATATCTTTATCACTTAATCATCTGTCCGGTTTTTATATTCTCAATGTCAATGAATTATCAACAAAACTTCCTACAGTCGTCTGCTTTTAACCTTATTATAACAAAAATTAAACAATAATAAAATATTCACTCACAAAAATAAATCAATCACTAATATCTAAACCAAACAATCTTTTATATCATGACATTCATATTATTAGTTTTATCATGCTGTTAACTGTTGGTGAGGACCACATATTAGATAATATTAAACCACTTTATGTTTTTGTCTGTCACAAGAATTAATGTAAAAGAATTGACAGAAAAAAAATTGGTGAAATCATTCTTTTTTTTATGAATATGAAAGACGAGTTATAAAAAAGTGTGAGTAAATCAAATTAGCAACCTTTTCAATGACTATCTAGAAAAAAATAAGTTTAAAGTGCAGAATATTAAAACAAGTTCATTAAAAATAAAGGTTTAAAAGCCTGCCATATGTTTCGACACATTCACGTGTCTTCCTCAGTGATCACTCAGTGGCTAAGCGACCACGTTACAGACCCTTAGAGTTCAACTGTAATTAACCCTAATTTTGAGCCACTACTATAGGGAAGACTGTCAGACATCAGCACGGGCCCCACCCCCGCAAGGACTCTGTCCAGCTATTTAAACAGATTACAAGAAATTTTCTGGAACTTTTATAACCCACCCACAGCTGAAAGTGCAGGGCATTCCTGTTCAACCCACTAGATCACGCTCCGCCCTAAGGGTAACGAAAGCTTGAAGGTATAAGCTAATAACAACTTACTAGCCGCGACCCGCAAAACATTTGCGGTAGCTTTTTTGTCCTTCGCTTGAATTTTCTTTATTCTACCATTTTCACGCACGTTATTTATGGTACGCTTTCTTGCAGACATTTTGTGTTAGATCGATAAATCCTGGTCTTTTTGAAAAAAAAAAAATACGCTGTTAGTTCCTTCACGTGATAGTCCAGTTCCAATGCATCTTACTATGATATATAAGTGAATGTTAGTTCCTTCACGTGATAGTCCAGTTCCAGTGCATCTTACTATGATATATAAGTGAATGTTAGTTCCTTCACGTGATAGTCCAGTTCCAGTGCATCTTACTATGATATATAAGTGAATGTTAGTTCCTTCACGTGATAGTCCAGATTTTACATGTTTTGTTCTCCTATGTAGGAGAATTCTGAAACATAAGTCAAGTGATACTTTAATTCGCTTCAAGTACAGATGTCTTTTTGGTGTAACATTTATGATATTTTGATCTTACTGAAACATACTCATGTGTTAAGCCTTCTCCAAAAAATGTCTAATATATAAAGCCCATCCGGCATTTCTCGACCTCAGGCAAATGTCAACGCCACTGACTGTAAAGAGTAAAATCACACCTTTCACGAAGTTATAAATATTTTTTCATAAAGACTTGCTACTACCATGAAGATACCTGCTAGGTGTCTCTCAGGTCTATTAGTGGCGCACGCGATACTTCTATTATATGGTAGTTCATAAATCAAAGGAAATGTGTTGAAGGACAACTTTTATTAACAAGGGCAAACACTACATCAGTTTTTAAACAGTTTGAGTGTTTTTATAAACGGAATATTTGCTTGGGGTATTATATACTCCCTGTTCCTCTGTTAGATATTGCGTCATAGTGTTGCCTAGCATTGTTTTCTGGGTCGAATATGTTTCAAATTCACCTGTTAGATATTACCGTTTAATGTTACACTGTTTAGCACCGTTTGCTGGTTTTGAACCTGTTCTTTATTCACCTGTTAGCTGACACGGTTTAGTGTTGTTTAGCACTGTTTGCTGGGTTTGAGTCTATTCCATATTCTTCTGTTATTAATTAGCTAATTCAGTTTAGTGTTTTTTTACAGCACTGACAGTTTTAATCACTTTTTGTTTATGTTTTAATTGTTTGATATTTTTACTTTGCTGAGATTACATTGCTACCTATAGGTTCCTATATATATCCAATCCATGGTTGAACTGTCAGGGATTGAGGCAATTATCAATTATTTTTCTGTTCTGTCTAAAAGTCATGGTAACATCTCAATTGAAGGCGATGTCCAGGTAGAGTTCACATACACAATAATGACCCGTCATTTGTGATTCTGGAGTTTTTCTTCTCGGAACATACACGTGTCTGATAAAATAGCATACAACGTATCTATCAATTATTCTCCAGATCCTGTAAACTTGGACAGTGGCAGTTAAAACGTTCTTCTAAACAAGTTGTTCGAAAATTCTAGCACATTTTCGGTTTTTGCCACTGGAAAATTGCTTTTCGTAATCATAATTTCTGACTAAAGGTCTCAAATTTCCAGGAGATAATGTAGCCACACATGTCTGTTCTCTGCGGCTAACTGTCCTTCGGTAAGATACGCTCAACTCATAAGCTTTGTTGGTCTACACAAGCCGAGATATATGAATATTCCGAATCGTAAACATTACACACAACCTGGTTTACAAGTGAGGCAAACTAAGTTTTTAAGATTCACAATAAAATTTCGTAACTTCAAGACAAGGAAGATTTATAGAGGAATTACTTAAGCTTAAGGCTAAATAGAGAGTATATTAACAATGACTTGCTTTGTGATTGGAGTTTAAGTAAACTGACTGTGTTAAATATAAATATCATTCCATGTTCAGAATAATTAAGAAACTTTTTAGTGAAGTGATAGACTAAAGGGAAGGCAGCGAGTCAACATCATCCAACTCTTGAGCTATATTTGTAAGATCGAAAAGTGGAATTTGACCGTCACACTTATAATACACCCACGCCTTTGTTTATTTGTTTGTTTGAGAGAAAAGCCACATTTGGCTATCTGCTGGCCCACCGCGGGGAATCGAACCCTTAATTTTAGCGTTCTAAGTCTGTAGACTAGCAGCTGTCCCACCGGGGGACACACCCACGGCTAAAAAGTGGGGAGTACAATTTTCTTTCTTTTTGTGGGGGGTGGGGGGGGGCGATAACGGGACGTGAACCATTAGGCCGCATTCGGCTGTTAATTATTGAATTGTTAGTGTTAGTATAGTATAGAAAATTAAACAATGACGTTATTAAAGTTGAATATTCCAGAAATTAAATACCCGATTATTAAAATTAAACGATTCAAGTTTTTTTTTAATATTCCAAAAATTAAATATTCGATTGTTATAATGATATTATTCAAGTTTAATATTTGTAAAATTTCTGAAGACATTACACTGATGCTGTCTTTGTGAGATTCTAGGTAGATGTTCATGATATATCTTATGTATTAAAACAGCTTGATATCGGAGATTTGTTTGAAAATCTCTTATGTTTGAAGGTAAGGTTTGTTTTTCTTAGCATGTGTTTAAAAAAATCTCTGAACTGAGTTATTGACCAGTATCTTTTTGTTTATTTGTAATTAAGCACAAAGCTACACAATGGCTATCTG